CCCCAAAACCCCAAAACCCCAAAACCCCAAAACCCCATAATGTCTAATATATGATAATGTTGTTAAATCAAATAATAGAAAATCAATATAGATCAATTATTTCATTATATAGGATGCTTTTCTTAAGTTTTGAGATTAGTGGTATCAAAATGTCTCAATCTTGCTCATGCATCTCATTGACTGCCATCATAAATGCTCTTACACTAACGTAATCACTGGGAACTTCATAGGGCATGTATTGCTTAGCTCTATTATACATTGCATTGAATTTTCCGACCTTATATGAGAACCCAATTCTTTCAAATAATACCCTGATATCCTCCTTTCCTCTAGGAAGTTAAAAGTCATACTCAGTTATTCCCATTTCAGTGAAAGTCTGAGGGAAAAGCAAGTCAATAGCTTCAGGTTCGTCTCCATAGTTAGTGTAATCAGCGACTGATCTTTTCTCACGAGTAGGGATATCTGTTCTAATAGTGGGACAGCCGAAAACTCTATTGGTATCCTCAGGCTTTCTGACCTGATTTCTAGTTCCTAGTTTTGTGCATTTGCCTAAATCGGCATCTGGCTACAATTGGCGATAATTTTGTTCACCATGCAAGCATTTAGCTGCATTCCATGTATCATTATTCTGTAAATTCCTTATTCCAAATACGAAATCTTATGGAATAGGTGGTCTGCCTTGCCCTAAATTTCTTGGCTTTCCTAATTAATCCTGAGACACAGCCTTCATATCTTCAACTGTTTTCTTCACAATTACAGTTTTAGGGAAGCCTTGATCAATTCTCTCATGATGAACAGCGTTTGCAGCTCCATTAAGCACTTTTTCTTCAGCATACCCGAATCTCATTTTATTTTTGTCAACAGGCCAGATATAGTCTCTTTCCTTTTGCTCTCCTGGGTTGTAATTACCGTGAGTCTTCTTATATAGCTATTAAGCCTCGTCATCTTCCATCCAGTTATTGAGTTGAGCGTTTCTCTTAGGGTATAGTACATCCTTGGCATTTTCACTTGACAGAGTTGGTACTCCAAAATTAAAATTTTCCTTATTTTGAATTTGATTAGGCCACTAATAACCTCTCTCGTAGCCCTTGGCTAGAGGTTCTCTAATTTAGGAGGCGTAATTTTATTCTTTGATATCATTAAATCTAGCAGCTAGTCCTTGTATGTTTTAGGCCTTGATGACTGTGTCTACATGATCACCTTTCTAAGTTTTTTAACCGAACGAGAAGTTTTCTGGAACTTAAAGTCTATCATCGAAAACGCCTGGATGAACTTGCTTGATACCTGGCTGGTTTTAAAAGGTCTTTCTATACTTTTTAATATGCTCTGGTGTTGATGGCTCATTGTAGAAAATATCAGGCTTCAAGCAAGAAGCAGCTGATTCACCTCTGCCACCAGTGTTTACTCCAGCCGTTCTGATATTTGGAATAGGATCTTGTCTGAAATTTCTCATTTATTTTGAATTTTAAATTATTTCAATTATAAGAATATTAGCTGAATTATTTGATTAAGTGGGGTTTTGGGGTTTTGGGG